AATGATAATGGACTGAACCTCTGAACTTGTGAGCCAAGCGCAATTAATGTCTTTTATAAGAGTTGCTTTGGTCATGGTGTCTGTTCACAGCAGTAAAACCCTAAGACAACTGCCTCTATTATTTTTGGGTAGGTCTTTTATCATGAAGGGGTGTTCAATTTTGTCAAAGGCCTTTTCAGCATCTAATGGAATAAGCATGTAGGGATTTTTTCCTTTCAGTTCATTTATATGGTGGATTACACTGACAGATTTGCATTATGTTGCACCATCCCTGCATCTCTGGGATAAAGTATATTTGGTCGTGGTGGATGATCTTTTTTTGATGTGTTCTTGGATTTGGTTTACAAGTATTTTATTGAGAATTTTTGTACCCATGTTCATAAGGGAAATTGGTGTGTAATTCTCTTTGTTGAGTCTTTATGTAGTTTTTAGTTTAGGTATCAGGATAACTGTGACCTCATAAAATAAATTGGGAAATGTTCTTCTTCAGTTTTGAACCCCAGGACAAGGGACTGAGGTACATATTTTTCATATCTGGAAAGACCTGGCCTCCAGGTTCATTTTGGTCTCTTCCCTTCCCCCTTCTCCTTCTTTCTCATCTCTCATTCTCTCTCTGTGAGAGATCCCCAACCCAACCCCAGAGTGACTTCCCTGGCCTTGGTCCTTGGGTCAATGAATGTATCCAAGGACAACTTCCCAATAAACCTGCACTTAGTCTGGCTTGAATTGGCTCATTTCATCATTGGAGAAATAACTTATCAGTTTAACTCTTTAAAAGTCTGATAGAATTCTGTGCTAAAACCACCTGACCCTGAGTTTTTTGATTTTTGTTGGGTGACTACTATTTCTCTAGGAATTATGGGTCTGTTTAAATTGTATGATTTAACTTTGATAAGTTATGTTTCTAGAAAATTATCCATTTCTTTTTAGAATTCCCAGTTTGGTGGAGTACATGTTTTTAACATATGTCCTTATGATTTTCTGGAGTTCCTCAGTGTCTATTGTTATGTGCCCCTTTCTATTTCTGATTTTGCTAATATGGATATTCTCTCTGCCTTTTACTTAATTTGGGTAAAGTTAGTTAATCTTAATCAGTTTCTCAAAGACTAAATTCTTTGTTCCATTGATTCTTTTAGGTTTTTTATTTATTTCCATTTTAATGATTTCAGCTCTGAGTTTGATAATATCTTGCCTTTTACTCTGTGATTTCTTCTATTTGTTCTAGAACTTTCAGGTGTGCTGTTATTAGTATGAGGATGTCTCCATTCTTTAAATGTAGGCACTTAGTACTATTAACTTATGTAAGTTGTGTATTCATTTTCATTCAATTCTAGAAAAATTTTCTTTATTTTTTTTTAATTCAGCAGAGTGTTGTTCAGTTTTCATGAGTTTGTAAACTTTCTGGAGAAGGTTCAAAGGTCCATCTGTTTTATAATAGCATTTCTGTTTAGTTTTTGTCTGGTTGACCTACCTGCCTGTTGGCAAGAGTTTGATATTTAAGTAACCCCTCTTATTGTGTAAGTCAATATGTGACTTAAGCTGTAGTACTGTTTCTTTTATGAACTTGGATGCCCTTGTGTTTGCTGCATAGATGTTAAGCCTTGCAATGTCTTCTTGGTGGATCTGACCTTTAGTGAGTATGCAGAGTTCTTCCCCAGCTCTTTTGATTAGTTTTGGTTTGAAGTCTCTCTGCAACCTGTCTCTATAAAACTGCACTGACCAAACTGCCATATATATCTCTCCCTCTAGCTGCTCTTAAGTGGTTTCTTTTTCCTATCTGTTCTCGGGAGGCTTATCTCATTCTGTCTTTCCCACTGTTAGACATCACTTTGAAACATGGCTGCTTCCTTCTACAAAGTAACCTTTAACTTCGTTGTTAAGGATTAAAAGTGTGTACTAAGGGCATGTCTGTGTTCAGCCAGATTCAACTGTAATCCAAGGCGTGTCTGCATTCTGGTTGGATCATATTTTTGCTTTCATCCCTGTTCAGCTATATTCTTCTACCCTTTTCAGTATGAGAACTTTTTCCTCTACTGAAATGATGGGGGAATACAAGTGATTTTGTTCACATCTTTTTTGAATGTTAATTTATATCTTTGAGTCCCAATAGATTTAATTTCTTCTTCTTTTTTTAATCTACCAAAATCTATTTTTTTCCTTAGGATTTTTTCCTTTCAAATTCAGCTCATTGAAGACTTTGTATTAACAGCAAATTATCTAATTTATCTAATTCAAGATAAAATTCATCTAGTCAGCTGTTATAATTTTCCATGGTATCAAATTATCTCTAAAGAACAATATTTCAATTAAAAAATTTTGGTGCTGCTGGTATAATTCAGTTTTGACTTTTTAAAATTTCAAAATCTACTTAAAATATTTAAAATCTAGGGAAAAGTTTAAAAAAAAACCACCAGAACCCTTGGATGGATTTGTTTTTAATATTCTCCTTCATCACATGCATGTACATATGTATATATTAATATATATTGTAGGTTAAAGTATGTGCAAATATGCAAATAAGTTATGTACAACTGTTTATAAATACACTGCATAGGATTTCCAAGATTCCATTATAATATCTAATGACAACTCCCAACACACTGTAATTAGGTATTCAATATCTGATCTACTTTCAAGTTTCTATAATTGCTATGAAGGTTTTGTAAAATTTCTCTAGATTTAGGAATTTTGTCTTATCTCTTGCTCGAGCACGTGTGTATGACACAGGGTTTGAGTATGTCACCCTGGCTGGCCTGAAAATATCTATGTAGACCAGGCTGGCCTGGAACATCAGAGATTCTCCTGCCTCTGCCTCCCATGTGCTGGGATAAAGGTGTGTGCCACCATGCCCAGCATCTCTTGCACATACTTAATCTAGAAGAACGCTCTCTTTTGTCACTAGCTTATGCTTGACAACCCAGGTCCTATTTGTGTGCAACATGACATGGTCTAGATCTGTGTGTCTTCACTTCTAAGTTGTCCCGTTATTTTCTATGTGTATGCTAATGTGATATTCAATCTCGATTGGGATTTCAGCTATTGGACTATTGATATTGTACACCAGCAAATTTCTGAGTGTTCTACAGGTGTCCTGTGTATTGCAGGTGGTTTGGGTTCAACTCGGGCCTCTAGCCACCAAATCCAACTGACCTCATGCACACTCTCTAAGGCATTCTATACTGTGTTCCCAGACATTGTTAAATGTGCCCATGGGCTGCTGACCCAGCACCTCACTTGAGAACCATCACCGAGATGCTCACGTTAAAGTGAAAAGAACACTGGCCAAGTGTATTTCCTAATAGAGGTTAATGTCTAGTGGAAGGAGCACACATCAGACTGAGTCACTGATTCCAGCACTCGTTTAAGTCACTGATTCCTTGATGTAAGGTGCATTCCCCCTTCTGCTGTACACTATCATTTTATATACTGTAATGTGAGGATTTCATCCAGTTTATCTCAAAAATTCAACATGACATAATGTCATTGTTTTAGTTTTTGATGCTCTTATTATAACAAGTTTCTCCACTAGGAAACACACTTTGGAAGCGGATTTAGTATTTTTTGCAACGATTAACTTTAGTTATAAGCATCTGCAATTGTAAATTCTTATTGTGTAACACTGAATGTGAGAACTAGTGTAAAGGCTTATTTCCAGTGATTTCGGTTATTGGGACATTACAGCTTTCACTTAATAATTTACAAGAATAAAATGATGTTTGGTAAGGTGTATATAATAATAACAACAAAATTGGCAATTAATTTGAGCCGTCCATTTACCTTTAAATGTTTTTGTCTGTGCTCATGGTCAGCTGGTACATATAAACACACTTACCGCTCATGGATGATTTAAAACATTTTCTACAACTGCAAATACTGGGAAATAAATTTACTCTTGATTCTGAACATGCCGTACACATTTAAATATACCTAGGAGCAGATGTATGTTCGGAAAAACACATCACAGCATGGCACAGTGACTTTAGAACTGTGACCAGGTAAAGTGAGAAAAACGGAGATTTCAGCTTACTTCTGGATACTTAATACCCTTCTTTCTCTAACAAGTTGCTTCTAGTCTCAGGAGCAGCTGCCAGTTTTGCAGTCTCTCCCAAATCTGGCTCTGTGGTGGTAACAGTAAAGGTGAAGCAGCCACCGTGACGGGTTGCAGACCGGATGTGAGATCTTAAATAGCCCTTAACTTCGCAGAGTCACCGAGACGCACCTCCCTCGTCCCTCTTCCTCTCTGCCACCATCCCGTAGGAGACCGACCCAGATCCAGGAGCAAACTTTTTAGAAGCAACAAGCCCCGCCTCATCCCGACTCCTTTTCTCTGATTGGCTTGTGTGACTCCCGACGGCCCAATCACATTTGGAACCTTTCGGCGCAGCTCGGTGGCGTTGCTGCGCATGCCCAGTCAGGGACAAGCCGTGCAAGCCAGTCCTCCCGCGTGCGGCAAAGGGCACGGTGTAGGGCGGTGCTAGCCCCGCTAGGTGATGGTGCCAAGGTCGCTGCGCCGCTCTGGAACAGGGCTACACCCAGCAGGAGGGTGACAAGAAAAAGCAGTCTAGTCTCCACTGCCCAAGTTCAAAGCTAACTCCCCTAAGTGCAGGGTTAGGGTGTCCCGCTCACTCGACTGTCGGCTGGGACTCGGAGGGGGCGCAAGCTGCAGTCTGAGTCTCGGCCGACCGCAAAGCCGGGTGAATGGAGCCGGCCCTGACCAGAACAATCAGCTCTGGTGCAGAATGGGCTGGGCTGCACCGCCCCAAACGTGGCCGTGGTAGCATCATCCCCATTGCGCCGCTCGGGAGCCGCGAGGTCCGCGTCCAGCCCCATGAGGCGGCCCCGGGAAGCGCGGCTCCCGTGTGTGTAACTTAGAAAGTGACCAAGCAGCACGGCAGGAGGGGCGCTAGTCTAGCGCCGTCCCCGCCGCGCCGCGTCCGATCCCCGGCCCGGGCCGCGTTTGGCGGCTCGCCGCTCCCAGCCCAAGCCGGCCCCTGCGGCCGCTCACAAAACGCGGCGAGCGGAACCCTCACGCGGAAGCGCCCGTCGCACTGAGCATGCCCAGTGGCACAGTCGAACAGAGGAGTTTTTTTTCTTTTTCTTTTCTTTCTTCTTTTTTCTCTCTTTCTTCTTTTTCTTTTTTCTGGGTCTCCAGCAGGAGGCCTGTCCCCCACCCTCAGTTCAGACCCCCGCCGTCCCCCAGCCTGAGCAGCTAACCATGGCCGAGGTGTCCGGCGCCGCGTTGTCCCAGGCGGGTTGGTAAGTGTCGCGTCGCGCCGGCCGCCCGGCCGCGGGCTCGGGTCGGGCCCCAGGGAAGGTCGGGAGAGGGGCGCCGGGGCTGCGGCGGGGAAGGCGGACACCGCCACCCGCCCCCGTCCTCTCGGGGGCCCTCGGGGCCGGCTCCGCCCCCGGCGCCACGCGGAGCTCGGCGAGTGTCCCCGCTCCCCTAGGGGCGGCGGCCTGCGACCCGGAGCGGAGCGGCGGCCCGCGGGGAGAGAGCGAGGCCTCCGAGCCGGGGAGCGGGCGGCGGCCAGGCCCGAGCCGCGCCGATGGGGAGGACCCGCGGGGCCGAGCACGGCGCGCCGCCGCCCCTGGAGGGAGTCGCTGCGGCGGACGCGGGAGGCGGCGGCCTGCGGGAAGTTGGCGGGAGCACTGAGCCCAGCCCCGCGCGGCGGCCCGAGCCGGCCCGCTGCCCTCGTTTCAAACTACCGCGCCGACCGGAGCGCCGCTGCCCTTGCTACACGCTCAACTTGTGAAGCGGAGAATGACCGCCCAGGCTACTCGTGCCGGGGCTGCCCCGTGGAACTTTTTTTTGAAAGGATGGCGTTGATCTGATTTTTAAAAGACTTTTTCCAGCCGTGACTTTTAGGGATCTGAAAGCAATTACAAATTATTCTGAATTAAGCATTCTTTTTGGAATTGCAGCCATTTCAGTTGTAAATATCCACTTTAATTCAGCGTCGCTTTTCCTAGCTTGGCATAGATACCTTCCTGGGCTGATGGGTAGGGATGAGGATGAAACACAGATTATTTGTCCCAGTTTTCTGAAAATACACTTTAGTGAGAAGAGAGAAGCATCAAGAAAACTATTGTGGTGTTAGCAAACCGCTAAAGGACAGACAGAGCACTTTATGACTGAAGGAGAGAAGTGAGTTCTGACAGATGGTGAAGAAAGGCTTTGCAGATGCAGAGTTAGTAAAGTCCTTATTGTTTTGGAGAAAGGACACTAGATCTCAATGGTTCCTGGAAGTATGAAGGTGTTTGAAGATTGAAACCAAGAAGGAGGGCAGCAATGCTTAAAGGGTTGGAATTTGACTTTGATCATAAAGTTTTGACCAATAGGGCAGTATCATCACAACCCTGCTGAGAAGGTTTTGCTAAATGATTTTACGCGCCTCCCCCCTCCCCCCCCCCCCCCCGTCCCCCCTTCTCACATGTGTAAGATTAAGGCAAAGAATTGTTAAGGAACTTTCTCCCAGGATGGCTAGGAAGTGGTTGAAATAAATGTTGATGTAACTAGGCTGGTCAAGTCCAGTGTATTTACTATTTATTTATTTAGTAAATAAAGTACAGACCTCTTCATTCCCCCATTACTGGTACAGCAAATTTTAAGTTAAAAATTTCACTTTATTCAGTTTTATTTTACTCTTTTAATGGAACTCCTCTTTTCATTTTCTTGATTTTTACAAGGCTGTCCAGAGTAATCTTAAGTCTGTCTTCATTTCTGTTTATGTAGCCCAGGCTGGCCTTGAACTCATGATGGGATTACAGGTTTAGATCACACCAGACTTAGTATCTATTTGAGTTCTTCATTACACTGCGTCTTACTCTTATAAACTAGTGATACCCCTTTATTTACAAATACAGCTTTTTGAAAACATTCCGAAACATGACTACATCCTCTAGGAAGGTTCGTAACTTTATGGGAATCCCAGATGATTCTAAATTTGTTTTCTTAGGACCCTTAAAGCTCCTTAAGGGCAGAGAACACACACACTCTCTCTCTCTCTCTCATATATATATATATATGTATATAAATTATTTTGTTTGTGGTATCATAGATACCTAGAACTATATACTGCATTATTGCATTATCTTGGGGTCTTATTAAGTTGAAAGAGTTGACCTTGGAGTGGCCCTGTCAGTCACAAATGCCCAGAGTGTTTCCTCCTTTATTAGATTGTTACAAATCTCCAGCAATGTTACATTTTATCATTTGCCAGTTTGTTTTGAAAGCTAGGTTTACATACTTCCTTTCTACCAATTTGTTTTGCTTCTGAAGAGCCCAGATAAAGGCTGGGATCACTAAAATTCTTACATTTCTAAGACCGGTAGGAGTTTTCTAGCCATGTTCACCAGTCAGAATTTGTGCTAAGGAAGAAAGGCATGGGCTCTCTTCAGTGATGTGGCTTGTACTAGGCCTCTAGTTAGAGACTTACCGTGCTCCAGTTAGAATTGCAGAAGTTTAGATTTGTAGCAGTGCTGGGAAGAAAAGTTTAGCTGGAGAGCGGCTTTGAGCAACGCAGATGAGTTCTGACCCAGATCTCCCCTCGGGGCGGGCTGTTGACTCTGAACAAAATACTTCTGCACTCAAGTGTGCTATGTACTGAAGTAGTTTGTAGGTTCTAAAATGAAATGCTAAAACATCTGTACAGTTACTAATATGTTTTTTAAAAAATTTTATTGGATATTTTATTTATTTACATTTCAGATACTAATCTGTTTTATCTACTGCATGTAAAGTAGGGAAATAATAGTGAATGGCTTATGCTGATAATTTGAGGCAGAAGATCAATTTATTATTGAAATTTATTGGGTTGTTTATAAGTATTTTAAGTCTCAGATATTCAGTAATATTCCAGCCAAACTCAGGGCTTTAAAATATAAATTAAGCAGTAATATACCCCCAACAGCCCCACACCTCCAACTTGTAACAGAGAGGATTAGGTTTCATGGACTTCACCTTAAAATATTTTAGGGATTTTTGCAGTAAATTGGTTTGTTTAAATTTCTAAAATGGCCCCTTGATCCTTTGTAATGCTTACCTTTGTGCATAAAGTAACTTCATAGAAGGGATTTGGCATTATATTTACGTAGTGAACAGTAGTAGTCATGTTGTGTGTCTTGTTTTCCCTTAATCCTTTGTAGAGGGAATTGTCTGTTTCTACTTGCTGTACACGTCCACATCATGTTTTTGAGTCTTTTATTTTTTTAAATACTTTTACATTTGAGGTGAATATGCGTGTGTGTGTGTGTGTGTGTGTATGTGTGTATACATGTGTGCATGCATTTGGAAGCCAGAAGAGGAGGCTGGGAGTCCTCCACCATTCTCTCGTGTGTTCCTTTGAGATAGAGTTTCTCACAGAATCTGTAGCTTGTTCCTTGGTTTTGGATAGACTGCCACCCAGCAAGCTCGTGTGGTCATCCTGTCTCACATCCTGGGCTTGCTTTACAGGTTCCTGTGCCACACCTAGCATTTTATATGGGCTATGGGGATCCAAACCCAAGGCTCTTATCTGAGCTACTTTCCCCTTCCCTCCCGCTTTCTCCCTCTCCTTCTTCCTCTCTCCCTGCCCTGTCTCCCTTTCTCTTCTTCCTCCTTTTAAATATGTTAGAGAGAATGTAATTATTGAATTTATGTTTGTGAGACCATATTGTCTATAGAATCAATATTGTATAGTTTAAGCAAATCACAAGAGAGTAATAGTTTGCTGAATTCTAAGTAGTGGAACCAAGAATAGACTCAAATACTCAGAATAAAAATTCAGTACTTGTAGTGCATTGTGGTGACCACTTCTCATTTAAATGGTTGATTAAAAATAACACATTGCCCTATGTCCTTGTAATCCTAGCCTCGGCTTCATACTGAGACTGTCAGAAAAATCCAAGTCAACAAAGACAGGATTAAATCCTACATTTAAAAGTGGAATTGTTTGCTGTTTTTTGTTTGGGACAGAAGCTTATGTAATAATGAAAGAACTCATCGTTTTAATTGGATCACTTAGACCTATGTTTTGAAGTCTTACGAATTTCTGAAAAAACAAAGCACCATATTGTGTGTTTTGTTTTCTTAAGCAGTTTAGAGTTGAAGATCTATAATGTATGTGGCCTTTTTTAGGTGGGGCATGTTGACTCACAGCTCTAGTTCCTGGATGAAGGTAGAGGATTGCTGTCAGGCCAGTCTGGGATGTAACAAAACAAAACAAAACAAAACAAAACAAAACAAAACAAAAGAAGAAAACAAAATTTTTATTAAAAAATATAGTTTTGAAACACAACACTCCAGGTATCTGATTTTTTTTTTTTTTTTTAAATAGAATGGAGGAGACAGAGTAAGATGTTAAGTAAATATCTCCTTCCCTCCCTAGAATCTCACCTTTCCTTTGGCTCATCTCACTTTGACTACTGCTACCACACTAGCATCTTCTGTCCCAAGTACATCTGTGTTACTTTTCCACAATTAAGAGACTGCAGCTTATACACTGCAACCAGCTCTGGTGCAGGAGAGCCGCCATAGGCTCCTAGTACAAATGGAATAGTGTAGAGTACCAAGGGAGTCTGCTCTTCTGTACGTCTAGCCCTAAGGTAAAGAAGTGGAGCAGCTCTCAGACATCATTGCTGGGATTTAAAATTCTTCAGTCTTCCTTTCATATCCCACCAGTAGAAGCTTCTTAATAGCCTTATTAATTATCACAATAAAGAGTGTGGTTGTCATTCTTCAGCCCACCCTCTGTGCTTTTCTTGTTTGGTTGGTTTCAGTTTTCTCAGAAGCAAACTATTCCCCAGGAGACTGCTGGTGAATGAGCACTCTCCATCTTAAGTGAAAAACAGCATGTCTTAACAGCACAGGTAGAACCTTTGGTAGGTGGTAGCATCAGTATAACCACTTATATTAGTGCTAGTAGTTGCATAATACATTTATGAAAAGGATACTAAGAATTTTTATTCATGTTATTCTGTGGCACCTCTTACACATAGGTGAACACAGTATTGTACCTCCTCTCCCTCATGGTCTCACTGTGTATTCTAAGCTGACCTTGAACGGGGAATTTTGCTTCAGCTTTCCTAGTCTCGTGTTGCAGCCAGTTACAGATGGGTACCACTATATGAAGTTTACATAAGTTACATATTAAGTGCATACTAGTTTTTATTTCTGAAATTGTGAAATGCATTTTCTTTTTTCCTTTTCTCTACCCTCCCTCCTACCCTCTTTTTCTTTGAGATCATCTCACTATGCAGCTATGACACTCCTGGAACTC